CCTTCCTTCCTTCCTTCCTTCCTTCCTTCCTTCCTTCCTTCCTTCCTCCCTCCCTCCCTCCCTCCCTCCCTTCCTTCTTTCTTTCCTTTCTCTCTCTCTCTCTCTCTTCACCATGCCTTCCAGGTGATAATGCAACACAAAACTGATTGTAAGAGAAATTGGCATTTGGAGAAAGTCTACTTGAAATTGTTCTCACCTATTTTTTGCTAATTTTGCAATGTTTTATATGAATGGAAATACAGGTAGTATCAACCATTCTTTTTAGTGACTGAAGTTAGAACAGCACTGAAAAAAGTGACTTATGACTGTTTTTCGTGCTTACGACCATTGCAATTTTGCCATAGTCACATGATCAAAATTTGGACCCTTGGCAACCCGGCATATACAGTATTTATGATGGTTGTAGTGTCCCAGGATCATGTGATCACCTTTTGTGACTTTCTGACAAGCAAAGTCATTGGGGAAGCCAGGTTCATTTAACAACCATGTTATTAACTTAACAATTGCAGTGATTCACCTAACAATTGTGGCAAGAGTGGTCATAAAATGGAACAAAACTAATTTAACAACTGTCTTGCTTAGCAACAGAAATTTTGGGCTCAGTTGTGGTCGTAAGGCAAGGACTACCTATGTGTAGTTTTCCATTTGCCTGATCAGTGCAAGTCAGTAGCACCTGGTCTAATTTTGCATTCTAGTCCCCTTATTCAGCTGCCACAACAGCTATCCTTTTTGTGAACCTTGATTAATATGGGGTAACTGTACTTTTCTGCAGCCAATTCTTTCAGATGACTTCAGATGACTAAATGAGTGTAACACTGAAAGTTATGGAAATCAAAGACATCTCCTTACATGGAAATGTGTACAGATTTCAACCTTTACATTCATTGTCCAGAAAAATTAATTATCTAATGTATTATCACAGAATCTGAGAGTTGGAGGAGACCACAGATCCTTCCTGCACAGTGCAGGATCCAGTATAGCATCTCTGACCATACAATTCCATTAGAAGACCCTCGAGTGAAGGAGAACTAACCATGTCTTGTGACGCTCCTAGTGTCAGGAAGCGTTTCATGATGTCTAGTCTGATTTAGTTTTCTGTAGTTCTGTAACCCTTTGTATTGATCGTGTCCTCTGGGACAAAAGAGAATAAGTTCATTCCCACTTCATATATTTGAATGGTAATTATATTTCTCCATCATCATCTTTTTTGTAAACATACCCAGATCCTTTCAACTGTTGTAATATAACTTGCTGTCCAGACCCTTCCACGACTTCATCGCTCTTCTCTAAACTTACTGTAATTTGTTATGATCCTTTTTGAAGCTGTGGTGCTCTGAATTGGATACATAAATCCAATTTTGGTCATAAATATTGACCTAGGCAGAGTGGACTGAAACAATTACTTTCTATGAACTGGACTCTATGCTCCTGTTAATGCACCCCAATGGAGCATTTACTTTTTCATACCTGCATCATACTGTTAGCTTAGGTCAACCAGGATACCCAGATCATTTTACAGTATACCAAACCAGCTCCCACCTTATTCTTAGTGGCTTAGTTTTTTAAAAAAATAGCCAAATGCAGAACTTTATATTTTTTTACATTTCATTTCATTTCATTTCTTCATTTCTTTTCAAATATGCATATATATATATGTACATATATATATACCATATATATACATGGTATTCAGCTTTGTTCGGATATTTTCCCGCGTCATTATAGTTGTGCTTTTAAAGTTGTAGCAACGTTTCGGCAGAATCTCATCTGCCATCATCAGGCTTCTGTGTTGTGTTCGTCTATGAGTCAGGCTTTCACAGCCGTTTCTGTTTTAAATTTGGTGCTAGCCTACTGCTGTGTTAGAATGTTTTTTTCTTCATCCTGATTGGTTGGGAGTCTTGGTCTGTGTTTATTGGTCTTGGAGTTTGCTGTGTTCTGCTTGATTGGTGTTTCTAATATCTTCTGTCTGTTTTGTAGCATTTTTTGTCTTGATTGGCTGGCAACATTGTGTTTCCTGTATTGGAGGCTTTTAGTGTGGCTTGGCTCCGAGTAAACGGATGGCTATCATTTATTAGGAAGCTAGGTTTCATCTGGGTGCCTGGTTGGGGTGTGTTTGAGCTGGAGGATGAAGAAAAAAACATTCTGGCACAGCAGTAGGCTAGCACCAAATTTAAAACAGAAACGGCTGTGAAAGTTTGACTCACAGACGAACACTATACAGAAGCCTGATGATGGCAGATGAGATTCTGCCGAAACATTGCTACAACTTTAAAAGCACAATTATAATGACGTGGGAAAATACCCGAACAAAGCTGAATACCATACATATAAATACCCGTGAAAACTTAAGAAAACAAATATATGGCTGGAACCTTTTGAACCTTCTTTTTTAACCCCCACTTAAATATTAACTACTGTTCCCAGCTTTTTATCATCTGCATATTAATTCAGTGTCTTCTCAACTCATTCATTCATCTGAGTCATTTAGTGTCTTTTCAACTCACTCATTGATCCAAGTCATTGATAAAAGTGTTGAATAGCACAGAATCTAGTGGCACTCCATTCAGTACTTTCCTCTAAGCTGAAGTGGAGCCATTAATGAGCACTTTGAGTGCAGCCGCTCAGCCAATTGTGAATTCCTCCACAGTAGTAACATGTAGCTCAAGGGGAATATTATGAAGATTTGCTGAGGTCCAGGTATTTACTAAGACATTTTTCAAAGAGGGAAATAAGGTCAGCGTGACACAACTTGTTTTTCAATAAGCACATGCTGGCTTTTGTTAATTGTTGTAGGGATCACACACATGCTGCTTGATAATCTGTTCAAAGGCCTTGCCCAGTATAGACATCAAGTTGACAGCCTTGTAGCTTCTTGAGTCCTCCTCCTTTTCCTTTTTGAAGATGGAGATTACATTTGCTATACTCCAATCTTCTGGGACTTTGCCGGGCCTCCAGAGGTTGGAAGAAATGACCAAGAACAATTTTTCAATAATCTCAGCTAATGCTTCTTCGGTACCTTGGGGTGTAATCTATTTGCCCCTGGAAATCTGAAATCGTTTAAATTAACTAAGTTATTAGCTCTGCTATTCTGTCCCTTGGCTGTCCTCAATGGTGTGACAATGACCTGCTAAGGTTCCTGTTCCTTTCTGAGAAAAGATAAATGTAACATAGGACTTTAAAAGCTCTGCCTTCTCTGCATTGTAACCTATTCATTTTTCATAACAGTAGATCTACAATCTCTTCTCTGGCCTTACTTCTATTTCTAATGTAGCTTTTTGTTGTTTTGGGATCTCTCATAAGCCTCAGCACTTTCTAAGTTCAGCCTTTCTAAATTTGTTCCAACAACCTCTGGAAAATGAAGTACATAATGCCTCTTCCATAGTTCATCCTCATTCTGAGATGCAAATGCGAGGCTTACTATGGAGTTAGCAACTTATTCCACCATAAAGATGCGTCCACACTTATTCACTGGGGCAGTTGAAATTAATATTCACAGTTGCTGGTTCTGATGTAAGACTATACCAGAGGTTAATTTGACTATTAAATGTGCTTTGGAGTGTTTTTATGGTCATGTTTTCCCTGGATTTTTAGTTCACAATTTCATAAAGCATTTCCTTTTATTTTAATTAACACCGTCACCAGCTATTATGGCAATCAATTTTATCTAGCAAAAGTTTGCAGCTGGAAGACTTTTCCTATTAAAGTGCAAGATTTTGATCCTGTGAACGGGGCTGTCAAATTTGCGTTGTCACAGCAGCATCATGTGATGTATTGGGACTTTTTTCCCCTTCACTAAACCGGGCGTGCCCGGCGCATGATGCATCCAGCCCGTGGGCCACGAATTTGACAGCCCTGCTGTAGAACTTTTTCAGTTCCTGTCCCTCTCCCTGCCTTTCCTAGTTCAAGCTAATTCTGCATATGTTTTTTATAACTATTAATGCATATGTTTTGTGCTGTCCCAGCCAGTCTGTGGGAATTGGATAGTTACTTAGGAATTATGAGCTGTCCCCTTAAGGGAATGCATCATGGTAAATGTAGTTAAAGGTATCTTGGGAAATGCAGCTCATGTCACGTGGCCACATCTGTAATCCTGATTGGTCACTGAATTGACCCTCGATGGGTTTTTTCCCTTCACTAATGATACATCCGGCCCATGGGCCACGAATTTGACAGCCCTGCTGTCAAAGTTTTCCTTACTTTTGCCCGAACTCCCTAACTCATGGGAGCTGCTTTCTATCGCTACGAGATGGGTTAGGAGATAACCATCTATTATTACAAGGCAGATATACAAAGGATTGGTCCTTAAAGAAGAACTTCGTCACAAATGTGAGTTATGAGGATACCTGATGAACCAATAAATGTACTTTGTTATGGATGTCTTGTTGAGTTATCTATCTGCATCTGTACAGCTTATAAATCCACCTCTGTGCAGAAAAATGTTTCATATTTTTGTTTTGCTTTCCTATTTTTCAGCATACTGGTATCAGATGATATTGCCTCCAAATTTCGATGAGTCAAAAAAGTATCCCTTGCTCATTGATGTGTAAGTCAAACTGCCCTTTTTTACCTTTAGTTATTTATGCTTAATTCATGATACCAATCATGTTTATACTTATGTATTGTCTGCCTAATGCTTCGTGGGTGCTGTACAAAGATTTAAAAAGCGAGACAGGTTTGGCAAAACTCAGGCCTCGATTCTGAATGCTGCAGATTGTTCCCCTGAGAATCAGCTTGGATGCAGACAGCTCAGGGAGATGCAAGCCATCGTTCAGTAGGCTGATGGCCCATTTCTTCCACACAGAAGGCATTGTTGCTAATAAATTCCTAGTTGAGGAAGAGGAGGGACTTATTGGCATCTGGTTTCATATTCTCTTGGAGGACTGTGATGCAGTCACCAGATGAATACAAGCAACAGCTTTGTACTAGTAAAATTAGAAGAAAAAGAGCAGCCAGGATAACAACAAAAAGATTTCCAAGAAATTTAATTGACAAACATTTAAGACTTGAATGTGCTTCAAGACTTGTCGCCTTTACTAAAAGAGCTTGATTTGGCTGTTGCTCTGCAAATTATCATAGTGACAATTAATTCAGGATATAGAAAAGCATAGTGGTTCTGAAATAGGGTTATCAGATATAAGTTATAAAAAGCCAAACCATGGTTATAGGGCAGTGAAGAGTTTTCTGAGTTTCACTGGTGCCATCTAGTGTTTGATCAGAAACTTTAGTGATCATTAAGAGTGCCCTGTTCTGAAAAAGTCATAGTGATGATGTTAAGAGGCAAACTTCACTCTTACATACATATGCCTCAGACACAAATGCATAAGCCTTAGTAATTGCATCATGCCACATATTTTGACAATCCCTCAAAAGTCTTGCCTTCAAGTATTCCCAGCTGTTCCAACCAATGAGATACAGACAGTCCTCACTTAATGACCACAACCGAGTCTGGAATTTCCATCATCAGTTGTTGCAGTCATTAAGCAGGGCACCATGAGACCTAATTTGATTTTATGACTGTTTTTATGGGAATTGTGAAGTGAATCATCATTAAGCAAATCCATTGTCCCCAAATGGGCTTAAATCTTAACATGTGTTGCTGAGCCTATTTAAATAAATCGGTGTACTCTAGGTCAAGACTTCTGTACAGTTTGCCATTAAATAAAAACAATTGGCAAAGGATAGCTACCATTAGGAAAATGTGGATTGGACAATTGTACACATACCAATTTTACCGTATACGTACATCTTTACTGAACCTGACCCTGCAAATATAATATATATTAGTTTTTTAACAAAGAAGACACATTTCCTGGATCCTGAACATATGCTGTTGATGCTATTCCTCCCTCACACTCCTTTGCACATATTAAAGGATTTGCATTAATTAGCTTCCTCTTGTAACCTGCAAATTATAAAAATTTGCTTTTTATAGTAAATATAAAATGCAAATATTCTATATTTGGTGAAAATTAATTGTAGAAGAAATGTAGAAGAAATACAGTAGTTACAAGTACTTAATTTCTCTTCATCCTATTAATTCATATCTGTTAGGAATATGAGTCACCTAACAGCTATTTGGGTTAGATATATATAAACCAGGATAAACATTTTAAAACTGTAAGAAAATGCAAAACTGTAATTAGGTGTGGTTTCTCAAATGGCCATAAGATGGAGACAGAAACCTGGGTTGTTTAGTCTTAGTCTCAGAAGAGAGTGTGTCTGAGTGAGTATCTGTTTCCTTCTGTTGGAAAGTATTGCCGTTCCTCCATTTTTCCTAATTGACTGATATTCATGGATTTAATGTAAGTCTGATACTGAACTGTTTTTGACACTGGACTTTGTTATTTAATTATCCTTGGATTGGAAAAAACTGACTGATTTACCTGTGAATGATTTTGGATTGCTTGTTTGGACTTTGCTTAACGTTTCTGGAAGTAAAAACCTACATTTACTGTACAGTGTATCTGTGTGCTGTATGTGTATTATTCAAACACTACTCTCAAATACGTCTCCCTGTATGCGCTCATTCTCCTAACGGGGAATTACCTCAACAATATCTTAACATAATATATCATAATCATTAGAGTTATTAACCATTTTACTAATTAAAATTTCAGTGAACCATAATGATCAAAGGCTTATTAAGATTCTGAACAAGAAAGGTGGATCTTGGTACACTGTTTAAATGTATTAGAGATTAGCATTTGGATTTTAGGGTAGTATGCAGGGGGACATGAATATGACCATGAGTCGTAGATTATTTGTCTTCAATTATGTACATTCTTCAGATGATATATAATTAGCTCTCAGATCTTTTGCGAGGGGGAAAAACAGACTTCTTCATTTTTGCACTTGACCACTTTATTAAAAAGCAAAGGTAAAGGTAAAAGTTTCCCTCGCACATACGTACTAGTCATTTCTGGCTCTAGTGGGTGGTGCTCATATCCGTTACAAAGCCGAAGAGCAGTGCTGTCGGAAGACATCTCCGTGGTTATGTGGCCGGCATGACTAAATGCCAAAGGTGCACAGAAACTTGTTACCTTCCCACCAAAGTGTTCCCTATTTTTCTACTTGCATTTTTACATACTTTCGAACTGCTAGGTTGGCAGAAGCTGGAACAAGTAATGAGAGCTCACTCCATTATGCGGTGTTAGGGATTCGAACCACCAAACTGCCAACCTTTCTGATCGACAAGCTCAGCGTCTTAGCCACTGAGCCATTGTGTCCCTTAATTTTTTTATTTTATTTTATTTTAAAAGTAGGGCAGTGAAAAACATTGAAAGAGGAGTTTGCTGTTTTTGTTAATGATAGTAAAGTAGGCATCCTCAAAACATTAAAGCAGCTGCATCTTTCAGAAGTGCAGCTGCCTTGAAGGCTGATCACAGTGTTTGTACATGAACTGTGTATGCGGGTACAGATTCTTTGTCTCATTGGTCCCACAGTACACACACCACCAAAAGCAGGCTTTGAAGCAACCATACAAGCCTTCTGCAGGATGCAGCTGCTTTAATACATTGAAAAGGATGCTATGCCTATCATTCTGAACAAGCTTTTCTGATCTGAGCCACATAGCTGCCATCTTGCACCTGATCAACATTTGTGTCTGGCCTCAACATGGGGACTTTCATTTGGGGAGATATAATTGGGCAACTGATTAAGGGTGTTTGCTCTTCATATATTCCAGAAATGTTAATATTCTCAGATAAGTCTATTCAATGGGGAACTGAGAAAGCAAGTGTGTTGGACCATGGCTGTAAGTGCTGTAGGAGCCCCAGTAGCTATAGGCAAGAGCAGTACTCTCATGCAGCAGCTCAAAAGCCACTAATTATGTTTGCTGGACTTTGATGCAAGAGCTGATGGGTATTTGAATGTTCTGGATAAGGCAAGTAATCTGTTAGCAAATGTCACAATGGCAAACAATATTCAGAAAATGAATAATTGAGCATCCCATGCCTTCTATTATGGAATAAAGCAAAAAGGTGTGAAACATTGAGACATTCCTGCAGTGAAGCAAGAACAAATGCTTACAGCTTAAACTCAGTTTTGTTGTATTTACACAAAGGCCCAGGATGAGAGTTGTAATGTAGAAAATATAGATTGAAATTATCTCCATGGGCAGTCATTTCAATAAGATTTAGTCATGAGCATTTAATGTTATTTGAGATTTCTTCCAGGAGTTTCATGATTAGCCTCAACTTCACAATAAATTAGATTAGGTTGGTCCAAAGTTAGTCCTTGTGTTCCATGAGAGAATGGGGATTGACTTCTTGTTGGACATACTCTAAATTAAACAAAGTTCTGCAGCAACCATAAAGGAATGAAGTTAAAAAAACAGTTCATTATTTTACAAGACAATGATGGAAATAATTCAATGGAGAGAGTTAAATGGAAATTACGATAAAATTCTACCATAGAGTTCATATACTGATTATGCCAGAAAAAGATCATATGATTCAGTCTCAGTTCTTATCATTTTGGGCTTCAATTTAATTTTCTCTATTCTATTCTATTCTATTCTATTCTATTCTCTATTCTTTGTAAATACCATTCTTCTTAGAATGTATTAATTTTAACCTAAATTGCTGTCTATATTGCTGCTTTTGAATTTCCAGCCATATTTGTGTATAGCGAAATAAACATTCAATACAGCTAAAGCCAGACTAATAATAAGAAAATACAAAATCCAGTTTAGCATCAGGATACGTTTCATAGGCCTGAATCTCAGTTCTATTGTTACAGTGCTTGTGGCAAACTTAGTTGAAGAGTAGGCTGCTGGACATTTTCTGTTCTAACCAAAGTCTCTGTTTATATAAGAATGTAGAAAGTGCAGAACAAATAGAGCACAGCATGGATCAAGTCAACCAAATTTTTTTCCACAGATATGCAGGGCCTTGTAGTCAGAAAGCAGATGCTGCCTTCCGGATCAACTGGTCTACATATCTCGCAAGCTCTGAAGGGATTATTGTGGCTAGCTTTGATGGTAGAGGAAGTGGCTTTCAAGGAGATAAAATTTTGCATGCAATATACCGAAGACTGGGAACCTATGAAGTTGAAGATCAGATCTCAGCAGCCAAGTAAGTTTGTGCCTTATTGCCTTAGCTTTAGGATGGTTAACATCTTAACTGGGTTTCTCTCAATGTTTCTCCTTCTTGCAGAATTTCGTAGGCTTGGTTTTTCTTCATTTCTCATTTTTTTTCTGTTTAGTAACTTTCATCATCCCCTCCTTGTTTTAATATAAAGCTTGAGATTTGTTTTTGTTCTTTTAATTCCCAACTTAACAGTATTTTTTTTTAACCTAATACACAGTTTTTGCAAACATTTAATGTATAACATAGTCAATTACTGTATTTGCATGATAGAAACATTTTGTGCAGCCTTTCCCTACTTTTTTGATTGATGAATTAGACTTTCAGGGAAGTTAATTTTGATGGATAGTTGAGTTAAGAATCATATATTAGTTTGCAAATGAAAATTTGATTAACACAAATACGCTCATTTCTCTTCTATTTCTAACCCCAGTAGCCTTCTACTTCCTTTGCTTCTAATTGCTAATCCAATTGTTTAAAAAAGTAGAAAACAAAAAAAACTTGTTTGGAAATAAGTATTGAATATTAATATTTATGTATTACATTTTAATACACCTATTCTCCAAGGAGCAAGGCTGGTGGGGGAAAGGAAGTGTTGCAAAGAAGAATAAGATAAGATTTTTCTGAGTAGGTGCACTTTTCTGTTTTTTCTTAGGCTATTTTCCGAAATGAGCTTTGTTGATAAGGACAGAATGGCTATTTGGGGCTGGGTAAGTATTAAAGTATTAATTGTTTTGTTCAGATTTGCTAGTAAGAAAAGGTGCTTCACTTGAATACGCATTGTGAGAAATTGCTGTTTGTGGAGACACAGGAGATGTTGTTTATAAGATACGCCTCTATATTTTAGTTGGGCCTCTTTCTAAGTAGAGAAATGTTTCCATTCAAAACCTGAATTATTGCTTCCATTTATCTCTCCCCACATCTTTATGCCATCTGATGGACTGCTCAAACACATAGAAACTGGAGCAGTTGGGTGATTGCCTTGATCCAGCAAGACTTTTTCTACATTCTCACATTTTCTAGTGGCCACAATAACTATGTGGCTGGGTTCATACTTTGCATTAAGCCATGAGTTGCTTTTCAGAGTTTATTGAGTAAACCATAGTTAGATAGGTTCATACACTACATTAAGCCATAAAAGCATTGTGTGCAAACTTTAATTGCTTGTTCACACAACATGATAAGCCAAAATCAAGCAAGCTGCATTGTGTTTTACACTGAATCTATCTATGAATCCAGTCTGTTACATTGTCCTCCATTTCTAGTGTAGGTTGGCTTCTATACAAGGTTGCAGGAAATTTGACTGTATTTTAAATTGATTGGGTCAACTTTCCACTTAAAAGTCTATTCTTATTATATTTTTATGATATCAAGGGAATATTTTATAATATAAGGGAACGTCTCCTTGCACAAATATTCAAGTTCATCCTTGGAGTGGGAAAGTTATGTTAGTCTAGGCTAGCTTAAGAAAGAGTTGAAAGGAACCTGTTTCAACTATAGTCTGGCTATAGATGATAGTTCTATTAGCCAATCTCAATGCTTTAGCTGTGCTTTGCAGAGATGTACAACTGTTGGAATTAAACCAGCTAATCATGGTATTCATCCACCCATCCAATGAGATCAATAGACACATCTATAAAGGCAGATCAGTTTTCAGGGAGGTCCTCTTAAAATACAGACCCCAAGAACAGAACAACAGAACTTCACTGATTGCCTCCTCCAGCTTAGAGCTCAAACCACTCAAATGCATTATTAATATGCTTCAGCCCATACTGGACAATGACAATGTATTTTTTCAGGCCCATGTTTGAATACAAAAAACATCCAACCTGAAGCAAATTGTCACAAGCAACAAATAACAACAGGATAATGAGGGGAACCAGGGCCAGCAACAGATCCAGATGTCTAGCTTATCCCCACATTTATACCAACAGCACCATTGTGGATCCCAACAAGTAAACATACACAATCAGAGATGCCTTCACATGCTTGTCCTCTATTGTGATATGCCCCAGCATCTATCCCTTTGGACTTTACCTACATAGGACAACGTTTGCACATATACTGAAGAGTTCATGGACACAAGTTTGACATCAGGAGCCAAAACAAGATCAAAATAATAGAGTATTTCAGCCTCCTAGGACACTCATTGCAGACCTTAAAATTAATCTTTGGGGGAAAAAGCAATCTTTTAAGTGAAAGGTTGCTGAACATATATCAATTAGTTTTAGGCTATCTCGAAAGATCTCAGCAAACACAGTGTTTTGTATTAACACATTAAAATTGATAATTGATAGAATTATCACTTGTAATTTGTCATATGTAACCTGTATCGGCAGTAACCAATCTAAATTCCCCTCTCCCAATGTCATCACAATTTAACTCCTACATCAGTTAGTTAACTTATTTAAAAAATTTATATAGCCACCCGTCATATAACCAACTCTGGGCAGCTAACTAAATCAAAGTTTTAGTTACGAAGAAGTGAATTGTTGCTGACAAAATATTTGCCTTTTAGTAAAAGTTGTTAATTAGAACAGAAATAACCAGACTCCTTCTGATTCAGGTTGCCCTGAGTCACATGTCAAGTTGGCAGCTGTATAAAATAAAGAACATAAAGATGTGACTATATCTCATTCTGCCTAACCCAACCTAGAGGTGTCTCTTTTTGAAACTAAGACTAATGGGGCTCCCTTTATATCCCTTTGTGCTGTTGTTGTTAGTTGTGAAGTTGTGTCTGACCCATGGTGATCCCATGAACAACATTCCTCCAGGCCTTCCTGTCCTCTACCATCTTCTGGAGTCCATTTAAACTCACACCGACTGCTTCAGTGACTCCATCCAGCCACCTCATTCTTTGTCGTCCCTTTCTTCTTTTGCTCTCAATCTTTTCTAGCATTAGGTTCTTCTCCAGTGAGTTCTTCCTTCTCATTAGGTGGCCAAAGTATTTGAGTTTCAACTTCAGGATCTGGCCTTCTGAAAAGCAGTCAGGGTTGATCTCCCTTTATATGAAGATACTATACAGGTTTTACAGAGGATTTCATTACCCAAAAAATTGGGGTCAGAACAAGCCTTGCCTCATTACTTGGCAAACTGAGATCCAAGCAAAGCTATTCTTTAATACACATACATATTCTTTGTGAGGAGAACATTGTATCCCTCTTGGTCTATTTGAAATAATAATGTTTCTTTTCTCTCAGTCTTATGGAGGTTATGTAACTTCCATGGCCCTCGGAGCCGGAAGTGGTGTGTTCAAGTGCGGAATAGCTGTGGCACCTGTCTCACGCTGGCAATATTATGGTATGTGTTTATTTATTCACAATAAAGTAGGAAGATCCTTTAACAAGTACCACAAAAGTCATACTGGGCAATGGTATCGAGTATGAATAGTTGGGTACATAATTCTCCCACATGAAGCTATCATTTGGTCTGCCTTCCTGAACTCATGTGAGGTATTACACACTGTCCCTGGATTAATATTTTTCCCCAACTGGAAACTTGGATTTGAAAGGAAGATAATCTGCTTTAAATGGCACAAAATTACTTAATATTTGAAATTTTACTATAATGCAAATGTCTGCATTTGCATTCCTCAAAAGTGCCATGTGTTCCAAAGTGTGGAGGGATCATTTCTGAATGTCATAGAATTCATTGGCACTGCTATCAACTTCCTTTATGACAATGAGCTCTGGAAAGAAGGGTCATAATTTTAATCATTTATTACAATATTTACCAATTAAATGACATTGCTCATTGCCTCTTATGTATACTAAAGTATCATCAAATGCTTATTATTAGTTTGCTCAATGTTCCAAAAACTCCCAAAAGGAAAATTTGAATGTTAAAGCTGTATATTTTTGCCTTACATTTTGATTCTAATTATGAGTTTATTGGGTAAACTTTGTGATGGCTTCTTGAGTTGCTGCTTTTCATTGAGAAAACATGATTTGGCTAAATTTTCTGGAAGTCAGAAAGGATGACATTTGTGTAATTAAGCCCCTCTTTTCATGTTTTCCTTTTAAATATCAGTGCTTACTTCTTCTGTCCTACCTTCAATGGTTAAATTTTACCATTTGTTTTTTAAAAAAATAATTACGTATTAGAATATACATAATTATTCATAGATTGCTCTCATTGCAAATGAGTATGCTATCTGCAGACAAATCAGAGTTTTATTCTATATTTTGAAATGTTACAGAAATCTGATTATCAAGAGGCAACACTGTATGACATGCCTATATAGGGAGCAATCTCTTTTAAATGATTTCCAGTATGCCAACTGCAGAGTGTTGGAGTATTTATTTTTAAGTCATCTCTATCCCTCCTTTCATCAAGGAGCTCAAGGCAACAAATATGGTCCGCCTTCCACTTTTCCTTTGCTGGAAGTCTGCAAAGTGGCTAGATATTTGAAATAGTGTCATGCCTCCTAATTTATCAGGACTTTCTCCACCTCCTTAGTGGGACATTTGCGTATTTTCTTGCTCTGGAGAAAAGAAAATCTCCTCCTTATTATTTGGTAGGCTTGCTTCTACAGATGGAAGCATAAAGTTGGATCCCACCTAGTGAGTAGTACAGACTCTACCAAGGTCCTATATGCTGAATCAGAATTTAAACCTGGTCACACACTTATCTGGGGTTTCCCAAACTGTGAGGTGTACCTTCTTTGGGCAGGTGCAGATAAGAGTCCAGGAGAAGTGTGGAAAACCCTTTGGTTAATAAATCCACATTTCCCAAAGTTTCATTGTATTGCTTTTTTTTGTTCAGTTGTGTTCGTTTTAGTGTTTGAATTTTTAGGCCAGATGTGTACATTAAGGTTACAATAAAGGGAGTTATAGCAAAAAGTTTGGGAACCCCTTGTCTAAGACCTTAACTACCGTATTTGCCGGCGTATAAGACGACCCGGCGTATAAGACGACCCCCCACCACCACCGGAAACGCCCTCCAGAAATCCCCGGGGCTGCAGCGGCAGGGCAGAGTTCCAGGGGCCGTGGGAAGAGCAGGAAGGCTGCAGCCTCGGGCGGAGCGAGGCGAGCGGGATGAAGCGGAAGCGACGCAGGGGATCCAGGAAGCCAGAGGCGCCTTCGCTGCGTCCAACAAGCATCCGAAAGCCGGCAGTGGATATACCGGCGTATAAGACGACCCCCCCACTTGGAGGCATGTTTTTCGGGGCAAAAAAGTCGTCTTATACGCCGGCAAATACGGTACAACTTTAAACTAGAATTGGGTAAGGTCCAGTTATTGTCAATTACAGGTTTGGGGAGATTGAGGAAATCATCTAGTTTTTTATGGTTATGAATGAGGGTATCCAAGGGAACGTCCAAAAACTTCATAGCCACATGACACAGAATCTCTTTGTTTGAGAATTATTTTTTTTAAATGCTTAAAATGAAGTAAACAAACAATATGCTAAGGGGGGGGGGGTTTCAAGAAATAATCAATGGTTTATTTTGATGGTTTGATGACCCTAAAAGAAATAGCCCTGCTTTGATAGCATCCTTAGTTTATTGCAATTCATCCAGAGAAACAGACTTAGTAAAACTTCCATTTTCTTTCCAGTTGATGAGAGAATAATATTACTTTGGCATAAGGTTGCTGAGAATAATTAATAATGCTGTTGCTATGGACAACTGCATACTGAATATTTTAAAATGTGATTATCTCCAGTGCCTATTATTAAGAAAACAGTAAATTTTGGGGGAAACTTAGCACAATAAAGCACTCACTATATTGGTAAATAGATGCCAATGAACACCAGAGTTAAATAAGCAAGGATAGTCTTCTGATATTGCATAATGTCTTCTTTATGTGCTCCCCTCCATCCTAGATTCTATATATACTGAACGCTACATGGGTTTGCCTGAAAAAAATGATAACCTGTATTTCTATGAGGTAAGAAAATGTCTTTCACTTTTTACTGTACAAAAATAAAACAACAACGCAAGCTGAATCTCACTGAACCTGACTTCCACACACATACTTCTTTCTTCCCTGCACTTTTACAATCAACTTTGGCTCACACTTACACACACCAAGTCCAAAGAATATGTGGGGAAGATGAGAAGCAAGCTGTGGTAGCAGTCCCCCCCCCCCCCCCCCCGCCTTCCTTACTTATAGAGAAGTGGTTATATGGTAATTTATCAAGGATATCAGAAGCAATAGTTATTCTAGGTGAAGAATATTCTAACAGTTTCTGTTGAGTGTTGCTAATATATTCCAGATATTTCCAAAATTATTTACAGTGTTTTGCTATACTGTAGAGGTTAGGTGACTGCATTTGTTTGGAATATGGATTCCATCTGTTCTCTATTACAATATAAATATTTATAAATAACTTTTGCAAAACTGTTTTTTTTATTAGGGAAATTCAATTTGGTATGCTATTTGATATAGCCTTGTATAGAGATTTGGGTTCTGTAGACACTCTACCATCTCTACGTTGCAATAATCTAGGCAACCATTTAGTGTAATCTGAATACTAATTACAACCCAGAGAAACCATTTAACATTGCATCACTTGGCACATTTATACAAAAATGTGGTTTCATGGATCTGACCAGACACTTATGAAACTATCTTTTCCTTCCCTCTTTCTTAATCTGCAGCATTTTTTCACTAAAACAGATTTAGGCAGTGAATTTGTTCTTTGACTTTTGCAGTTTGCACTGCAATTGAAATGGTGGCATAGTCTCCAGGAGCAGTGAGGTATTAGCCCAAGATATATCTCTGTTAACCTTGCTCTTAAACAAGCATATCTTCTATTATATCTGCTATTGCAGCGTCTTTACATGCCAGTGCATATCTATACATTTTGTGCTCAAGTCTGCTGTGTACATAATGTTTCTGTTTCTTCAGTATCATGTTTATGATGCCTTTGCTCCAAAAAGAACTTTATAGTAAATTATGATTCTAAGCATACTGTTTTTATTTTTCCATTACATCATAATAAAAATTCATGCGCTCTGACAAATCCACAGTGTTTGAACACCTGTTGAAGTGTGCAGAAACTAAGCAGAAAGGAATGGAATGCATGTACATATTGAGGGTATATATCTGATAAGGAGATCTAAAATGGGTGGGAGATATCTTGTATTGAAATAGAAGTAGATATGGAACTGAATTAACACACTGAGCACATTAGTCACAAAACCCACTGTGGGCAAAGGGAGAAAAAAATTGCTAAGTTGTCCTATCTCTACTCTTCAAGTTGCTACTTGATGAAGTAGCAGCCATGTAACAAATGCTGCTACTGGGCATCTGCTGTACAGAGAAGAGTGAATTATGGAGAAAAAAGTCTATGTTTCTAATAAATAAAAGCCATAATCATAAGAGCTTGAAGACCAGATAATTTGTTTTTACACCTAAAAACCTAAGATGGGCAAGCCATACAAATCTTTTAAATAAATAAATCTGGATTTCTGAAATTTGAAAAATTTGGTGTGGTGATTAACGTCCTGAACTAGAAACTCGTGAGTTCTACTTTAGCACAAAGCCAGCTGGAGACCTTGGGCTAGTGACTTTAGCCCTAGGACGGCAGTCCTGGCAAAAAAAAAAAAAACCTTGCCAAGGAAAGTTCAGAGGCTTTGGGTCACCAGGAGTCAAAAATTGACTCAAAGATACACTCTACAATCAAATCCCAAACCTTAAAAACCCAAGTTGGGCAACTGTACAAATCTATTAAATAAATTAACCTGGAGTTCTGCAGATTCACCTATTCAGGTCCCAATTTCCATCACTGCTGAAACCTAGAAGAGGGCACTCCCATTCATTCACTCCAGGCTACCTCACAAAATATTTAGGACAGAATGGGGTCATCTCAGGTGGCCTGGATCTTGTTTGTGGGTAGGTCCAAATGAGTTAGTCGGTTTTGCCCTTGAGATCTACACATCCTAGATAGAAAATAAAACTGCCACTATTGTGCAGGAAGCATGGTGGCCTAGCAGTTAAGATGCTGGACTTGTCAACTGGAAAGTTGGCCTTTTGAGCCCAAGAACCACATGACAGGGGAAGCTCCCATTCCTGCCCCAGCTCCTGCCCAACTAGCAGTTCAAAGGCATGGAACTGGGAGTCCCAAAGGTGCTTTTTTCAAGAGGCAACTGGACTTTCTTGTTTCACTTCTCATCCAAGAAGCTTCTTCAGTTCTGACTGGATGGTCGGGGATGGAAGGATTTATACTCCTTGCAGACAGTTGGTCATTTGCACTCTTTTTTAGAGAATCGTTGAGGCCACTTGGAGGTTTATCTGTGTCCTCAGGGTCACCTGAGTAGTGCAAATGGGTGTGGAGCCTTGTTGACTACATGATGTTTTCTGCCCTGTGTCCCTTCATTGTTGAACACAGGCACAGGCTGTTGGGGCTGAGTCTGTGTTGTCTGCATCTCAAACTGAAGCACAAATGGTTCCTGTAGTTTTCAATTTTTCTGGAAATCCATACATACTCCTACACGATTCGAGGGTATTCACCCCAAAGCACACAGCTAAAAGTCCGTGGAGATTCTCGGTCATTCAGGTCATGGTTGTCTCAAAGGTGCTTTTTCAGGAGGCAACTGAACTTTCTTGTCCAACCCCCCCCCCCCCCAAAGTCCAGTTGCCTCCTGAAAAAGCACCTTTGAGACAACCATGACCTGAATGACCGAGAATCTCCATGGACATGGAACTGGGAGTAGATAAATAGGTACTACTTTGGTGGGAAGGTAACAATATTCTGTGTGCCTCATGCTGGCCACATGACCACGGAAATGTCTTCAGACAAAGCTGGCTCCTTTAGCTACAAAATGGAGATGGAGCTCCACCCCCTACAGGCAAATACCACTGGACAGGGGAAAGCTTTAACTTTTTATAAAAGTCACTATAGAATTCTTTAATCTGACTACTCTTGACTACACCTCTCTGGCTACCACCCCTCAGAAATAGTACTACAAGTTCTACAAGCTAAAAAAAAGGCAAAGAAAAGGACATTCAAAACAACTGATGGGATGCAATTAGCGATGAAATGTATATCGTGGTGTAAAATGTGCAGCTTGTACTTGAAGGTCCTCATTTACTGTAGTCGCCTATGGTTGTCTCTAAAAAGCAAAACAAAAAGCTTGGTGTGAAGATGAGAAAGAAAAAAACATGATGGGTGAAGTGTTGAAAGTCATGCATAATGTAAAAAAAAATTGAACAGTCTTCCCCCCCCCCCCCCCCGTCCCCCTTAGAAGGATTAGAATCATGGCATGAAAGAACACGTGGAAAAATTTGGGACTAGAAAAAGAAAGAACTTGTTTACACATTCATAATTAATTGCCGGAACTCCCTGCCCTCAGTGGTGCTGTTCCCTGTTATTTATTATTTTTTTGAAATGGCTTTAAAAGCTACCTCCTGAATTATAGATAGGCTACTTTTAAATAGGGATCAAATGTAGGCAGCAGCTATTAGTTCCATGCCCTCTTTGTGACTTTCCTTCAAGCAGTTGAGTCAAAGGTCGTTGTGAGGTACATTTGGCCTGGTCCTGTCCAGGAGGGTTCTTCCATTGTTTTGATCAAGTTATGAAAGAAATTGTTACAGTCCCTGGGGTAAAACTCTGGAGTCACAGTTTGGCCATTTGGTGACTTACTGCCCTTCTTTCAAGCGCTATGAGAGATTTAAACTTTAAAAAGTTGTCTGGGTTTTCAGTAAAGCTTTCTAATTTAAGTCCAACTAGTTATGAAATCTTTATTCTACCCTACCCATCCGTGCTTGCTATATTTGGGGAAGAAGGTTGCTTGCTGAATAACTTTGGGTTCTGATAAGTCGCTTTGTCGAGTAGCAGATCCACAAAGCCCTTATGGAATTGGAAGTCTCTTAACTTTCTACAGATTGAAATGTTAGTGCTCTGGGTGCACTATGTCACTCTGCAGCTTCACAGCACAGATGGCTCCAGAGGACCGTGTAATCTTTCTTTTTGCCAGAAGCCGACTTCTCTTGGCACGGCATTCGTTGCTGGCAGTGTCCACGTTGAAACTGCCAGTACCCAAAAGCTAAAGGTTTCCAGTGTGTTACTCAGAGGATTAAATTGGAGAATTTGAAAGTTAGGGAGAGATGGAGATACGGAAGAGACTTATTGCAAATCCCCTTAGGGAAGAACTGTTTAATTCAGTTCATGTTATAAGTAGCAAGGAATGAAAATCTTCTTGGTTTAAGGTATTATTTGGAGTAGATTTCTCCCCTTTAAGTGGCCCAAGTTTTCTTTTTATCGTGGAACAATGAATTGCACAGTTTTCACCCCTTCTTGACTACAAAAAACATAAAAAACCCTCCTCAGAATATCCTCACTTTCAATGATCCTGATATTTCCTTCCTTCCTTCCTTCCACCAAAAATCCTCCTAAAGGCAGTCAGCTCAGTGTAGAATCTACAGAATCAACTGTAACAGTGCCAGAGGTTCATTAATTCATTTTTTTATGGTACAAAAACCTTCCTAGGATAGATAATTGTATAGTCTTGTTTTCTCCAAGTTGAGAAGTACATTCCCTATGTTGCTATTAAATGGATGGTCACGTACTTGATTGCCCTTCCAAAAATTCCTACTTATTTTCTCAAGGAAATAAAACCATGCTGGCTGGAATTCACACCCCCAATCGTTGTGAATATTAAGGCTGCAGGCAAGCTGTCCTGGAGCCTAGGCATTTCACAGTGGTGTGTAATACTGACCCACCATTTAAGAATTCTGATTTTGTGAGACCCAGTTTAAATCAGAACCTACAGCGTCTGTCTTCCCATGGCAAGTGATTTCTGTTCAAAGGCTGATCATACCAATTGGGGCATCAGCATCACACACTACCCGCAACTATCATTGAGGATGCAACACACTGGTGTCTATTTTACCCAAGCATGTACTTCCGTTCAGGGAATTGCCCAGTCGCTGAACATGTGAACATTCAAAGGGATTCATTGTGACCAGAGATTGTGAGATGGCATTGGTGCTACAATCAGCCCGACTATCGCATTGGACTGAGGCCTTGCCTTTAAATATCCTCCCTTGATATGGCCGTCATCAGGTGATGAAGGTGTGTGAAGCATCCCCAGGTCAGAGCCCTGTGCCTTGTTCAATATTGCAGAATGTTGTACTGTGGTGTTCAGCACTGGAACAAGTGTTGTAAAATAGAACAAGGTGGAGACCTGGATGCATTAAGCCTAGTAACAATAATGCCAAGTGTATGGTGGACAAGTCGCTCCACAAGTGTCTCCGGATTGGAAACTAGAAGAGATTTTAAGCCAGAGAGAGAGAGGTGAGCCCTAAAACTGAACAGTTCCCCCAAAGGAAGATCAAGAGAAGGCCTGAAAGAAACCAGACTGACATGTGCAAGGGGAGGGGGGAAGGGCTGAATTGATGACTTGAGGGGTGGGAATGAAGGGTGATGCAGATAGTAGCTGTCATGTGCTGCCAGAAGACCATGCACTGGAGGGGGGGGGGAGACTGTTAAACTTGTGAAAGAGGTTGTTTTGCAGATCTCTCTGAATTTGATATGCTGTTGGCAAGTATTCGAAGCAGTCATAGATTTGGCAATCTTCTCTTAGCAGATTTGAAATGTTCATTCCTCAAGAACTGCTGCATCATTAGGTTATGCAAAACAGGGTACAATTTTGTAAATATGCCATCTTGTACTGGTATGACATTTATTCTATTATCCAAGAAATATGCCAAAGGGAGAGAGACCTTCAGATTCCAGCCAAATATTAACTTGTTTATTGAGTGGTGGTAAAATGTTGACTGCTGTTTGATCTTTACACAAAGCGAGCACTCCTTGCTGTGGCCTTAGTGTTAAAGGGCATTTTTACCGCTGGACTGACATGAAAAGACACAGGTTGCCTTGCCTTGGCTGAAAAAGCTCCCTGAAGCCTATTTCTTGGCTGTATGGGTGAGAGCCCTGAGGCAGATTCTCCCTTGTAAAGATTCATTCGATATGAATTAGGCAAATATGGCTTAATAAAGAGCAGTTGAGGATGGTTTGTTTTTATTTTATTTATTTATTTGTCAAGTGATTATAACATAATATGTATAAGTATAAACATAGTTATGAATACATGAAATGGATACATATAAGAAAAATAAAAAGAAACAATAGGAAAAGGGACGGTAGGCACGTTGGTGCACTTATGGACGCCCCCTACAGACCTCTTGGGAAAGGGGTGAGGTCAATAGTAGACAGTCTAAGGTTAAAGTTTTTGGGGTTTGGGGAAGAAACCACAGAGTCAGGGAGAGTATTCCAGACATTGACCACTCTGTTGCTGAAGTCGTATTTCCTGCAATCGAGTTTGGTGTGGTTTACCTTGAGTTTGTATCTATTGTGTGCTCTTGTATTGTTATGGTTGAAGCTGAAGTATACATTGACAGGTAGGACATTGCAATGTATGATTTTATATACTATACATAGATCGGACCAAAGGCGGTGTAGTTCTAGGTTTTCTAGGTCTAGAATTTCAAGTCTGATGGCATTTCTCAACTGTGTTAATATCAGATACGTAATGCAGGTTCTGGACTGATGAGCTGTATTCAAGTATTGGTCTAGCAAATGTTTTGTATGCTCTAGTTAGTTGTGTGATATTACCAGAGAAAAGGCTACGTAGGATTAGGTTAACAACTCTTAATGTCTTTTTGGCTATGTACTTGCAGTGGACTCTAGCACTTAGATCATTAGAGATGAGTACTCCAAGGTCCTTGACAGAGTTTGGATCATCAACAAATGGTGATTCCATTTTTGTCTGGTCTTAATTCTTGGCAATAAGTTATATTCAAAACTTATTTCCCCTCCGCCCATTGTTCACAGCCAACAAATTGAACCATTGAAGGGTGAAAAAAAAATCAGGTCTGTTTTCCTGGAGAACGAAGAGCTATCAAAATAGAGCATAGGTTATCTCTTTCTTGATTGTCACTGGACTCCACATAGCGCATCCATGCTGAGCACTGCAAGTCCCAAAGAGGAGCCATGGAGAACCACAGGGAAATGCAATGTTCAACTTTCTGCAGTGTCATACTTTAGTTTTACACATCTACTCGCTGCATGTGGGAAGCTGAGTTGTTTTCCTGCTGAAAAGCAGCAAGTTGTGGTTACCTTGATGGCACTAATCACAAAAGGGGAGCAACAGACATGGAGTTATTTCTGTTTATTCCCCTAAGCTAGAAGCCTGTGCTGTCAACACAAGGTTGGCAAGTGGGATGTGAGCTTTCACAAACACATGCACACACAGCTTTGCAGGGTCGAACACAATGGCTGCCGCTGATCCGTGGGCACCGTATATATGTGCGAGATAAATTTTAAAATTTACAGAACATTTTTATACAGATTGCTTTAACAGGTACTAAGACTCTGGATGATTAGTAGCATACATATCAGAGAGCTCTTTTTACCAATGAGTATCAGTGGGGAAGTAATTTCCCATAAGTTATGTTTTGGTTCATTCAATGTGTTACTCCCACTTATTTAGATTCATGTTTTGCAATTTATCTTCAGAGCACGAGCAGCAGTGGCTTTTATGCAATCCTTTAGTTATCCAGAAATGTTCGGTACTTGTCCAGCCATTTAGATAAATGAAGAAGTTATATTTTTCCATTAAGACCCTGGTGCAGTAATTAGAACATCAGTTTTGCAAGTTAAAAAGCTTATTTCTGTAAACTTCTCTAAGTGAACCCACAACCATTCCATTTCTGTTCTCAGAAAATAAAATAAGATTCAGAAGTGTCATTTTTCCATCAGAGTTCTGCCTTTGGATATTGGTGATGAGAGTCGAACCTTTCATTTTCATTGCTGGTGCAGAATTTTGGATCTTAGTGAACGGTCCTCAGCAGCCCTTTAGGGAGAAGAGGTGCATCAGTTGCCTTCTGAAGTCAACTTAAGGGCATCTTCATGACAGGTGCAGAGAGGTTTTCACATTTATGAATGCTGTATGAATAGCAAGGTCATACAGAGAGACAGACTTTATTTTTCTTTTGAATTAAAATAGCAGTTTGTTACATTAATGTGTATTTGAGTCACTCACATGGAGGATTATATTGTTTGTTTGCATTTACATTTTAGAACTCTACAGTTATGGCCAGAGCAGAAAACTTCCAAATGGTTGACTATCTCCTGATCCATGGAACAGCAGATGGTAAGCAGAGTTAGATCTTACTGGTCATACATCTACTAGTAACAAAACAACCCACCCAAAAAAGCAACAGCCTTGAGGACTTGTAATAAAGCTCTGTGATGAGTTCTCCCTTCTTTCTTTCCATCTAAGTAACAGTCTGCTTTTATTGTGACCGTTTGTCTGTTCTTACTTCCCAGATAACGTTCATTTTCAACAAGCAGCCCAGATTTCAAAAGCTCTGGTTGACGCACAGGTGGATTTCCAAGCAATGGTATGTGAAGGGATTCATCGAAACTTAGCATACATGTTGGTTTGCTTTCTCAGTGAAGAAATGAATAGAGGTAGCCCTCAACTTACAACTTTACTTGAGCCTGCCCATTATAAGTCCTGATGGTCATAAAGCAGATTATAAGTCCCATGACGACTTGATTTTATGACCTTTTTTACAGTGGTCATTAAGTGAATCACCATGATCATTAAGCCAACATTGCAGTTGTTAAGCGAACCCATGGTTTGTTATGGGGCATTTTTGCTGAAAACCAGGAATAAATGCCAGTTTTTGGCAAAAACATCGTAAATTGCAATCACATAATCGCGCTGCAAATGACCATAAATGTGGACCGGTTCTCAAGCACCCAAAATGCAGTCATGTGACTGCAGGTGACCATTGTAACTTTGGAACCAGGTCATAATTCCCTATGGAGGGGGTGTCTGTTTGACTTTGAATGGTCACTAAGCAACTGGCCATAAGTCAAGGATTATCTGTATAAGAGGAGGAGGCTAAGTTCGTAAAAGGAGATATGCACATCATACAAAATATGACATTGTAAGAAAAAGATGCATGCACACTTCCTTTAAAGTGAAGAGTTGGCTTCATTTGCTCCAATTATGTGCAGCAGCAGCATCAATAATATATTTCTGAGCATTTGGGAAGGGAAAAAATACAAGGTAGATAGCAAAGGGTTTCCCACCCCACTTTTTAAGCAGCACTGATTTAGTTTTCCTGCTACTGAGAGGTACTAACTAAGGTAAGGGTGGGGGACTTGAGAATATACGATGGATACATTCACCAAGAAGAAACTTACCCATCCTCAGAATGGGTTCAATAATGAGCATGATCAATGTATAGAACACTCATTTATCAGAAAGTAAGTTAGTTCCTCAGGATGTTTGTAAGTTAGTTCCTCAGGATGTTTATCCCAGTAGAATTTGGGGGGGGGGGGAGATATACTCTTCTAAATAACTACAGCCCTAGAAAATATAGCTACTTGATTTATTTTTCTTTCAAATGCCCTTTCAAGAGAAACCAGGCGGAATAGAGAGCTTGTGAAGCACTGTGGAATGTAGGGCACATTGGTACTTGGTGATTGTGGGTGCTGCACGCACACAAAGGGCTTGCTGATGAGAACAACTAAACTGTTGCTATGGTTACGCAAATCCCATCTCCTCCCAAATGTTCTTACCTATCATTGAAAGTTGCAGATGCCAGGCGTCAAGGAAGGATACGTAGTGATTCTTCTTAAGAAGATTTATTTATCGATCCATGCTTATAGGCAGAATCTTGCCAAGCTAAAGCAGTCTGCTCTCTATCCAAGCCTATGCTCAGAAAGCCATGAGAGAGAGGGTGTCTTCATCTTCTTTCTCACACCCAAAATATCTGAAATGAGTTGTCTCTACTCCTCTGAAATGCACCCCTCCTTCCTTGGAATCCAACCCACCAATGTTCCATTACACAAGAGAGGAATATATCCATAAAAGTGGATGAGGGATATTTGGCCAGGGCTTCAGTTAGATTCTGGCATAGTTGTGCTAATACTATCTACACCATAGTAGTGTTATCTGTAAGAGTGCTCTCAGATATTGTTCCAGTCCTAATTGGAGTTTAACACTAACCCAACGTCCACAGCATGTGTGTATTACCAGCTCTCAGTTTTTCTACAAAGAATGTGTATAATCTCTCAAATTTCTTTCTGGTCTAATCTAGGGTGAGCAGATCTGGGCTACAAAAATCTGTAGCAAAGAAACATGGAATCTTTAGTAATTGACTGCCATTTAGCAATAGCAATAGCACTTAGACTTATATACCACTTTATAGTGCTTTACAGCCCTCTCTAGTTAGCCTATTGCCCCCATCAATTTGGGTCCTCGTTTTACTCACCTCGGAAGGATGGAAGGCTGAGTCAACCTTGAGACTGGTGGGATTTGAACTGCCAAATTGTAGGCAGCTGGCTGCAGAAGTAGCCTGCAGTACTGCACTCTAACCACTGCGCCACAGAGGCTCCTTATTTGGAGGTCTTAGCTCAGATCTGCTCCCCCCTATCCGAGTGAGTAATGCAAACATGCTAGTTCATAGCACCCGAAAAAAGGTGTAGTGTAGCACAAGAGCCTCTTTGTATAGCACCGCCTCTGGCATAAATAGTGCATGGACCTGTTGAGGTGGGCAGCCTCACCCACTTCTAGCTTCCCTCATCCCAATAGGACACTTCTAAAACTAGGCTCAGTTCCCCAGCTCAAAATAGTGATGATTAGTTGTAGTTTCTTTTTGCTCTGGATGCTACGCTTAGGGCAGGAATTACATTTTGAGGATTCATTTGGCCAAGGTAAACTAAAAGATCTGTGTCCATAACTTATATATGGCAACAGTGGGTTTCCAGCATGGAGAAGATTTCAGTCAGTTCTCAGGCAGTGGTTTTATGGTATGTAGTATCTGGAAGAAAAGCCTCTCTAACCCCCTTCCCTTTCAGAAGGAAACAGTCAGAACACAGTATTTTCTTTCCCTCTTTTCCTACCCCACCCTCAAGACACCCATCTTGTCTTCTGCCCTTTTTAGTATGCATAAATATTAGATGTTGACCATTATCATGATTATCATATGTTGACCCCTTGATTTCAATGGAACTTTTTATCTGTGAAATTTACAAAACGTGAAACGATCCATAGTTGAAGGAATCCCGTTAATTTTTACTGCAAATTAAAATTGAGATTTACCATTTTTAGCCTGTAACAAACAAACAAACAGAATCAACTTTCTTCAGATGTTTTCACTACGTTCTGGTTTCAGTGGCATAAAAAGCGCTGTTTTTCTTGTATGTTTTATCATCCCAAGTAATAGATTGTGTTATTTGCTCTGATACAAAGCAAAAGGCGTTCTGAATTCTTGCAGTGTTCCGGTTTAGTGACAGGGGCTACTTATAATCAATACTTTTCTTTTTCTTTTTTCAGTGGTATACAGATAAAGATCATGGAATCGAAGGACATGCCCACAGCCATATTTACCATCACATGAGTCATTTTATCAAACGTTGTTTTAAATTGCCATAAAGTTGGGAGTGCCTTATCTATGCGAAACTGGTCAACTTCTGAAGTTTTAAGAGCACTTTTCTCGTAAATTGTCCCATATTTCATTGGATGACACAGTCAATTTAATTTGTGCGGACACTTGAATGAAGAAAACATGATCCACTGAGCACAAGCCAAAGAACTGCAGAGCTCCCTTGTTCCTGCAGGAGCTGCTCCAATCCTTTTTTTTTTTTTTTCCCCTCAAGGACTATTTTTGCATAATAGTGTTTTTAAAATGATTTCTTGCAGTAAGCCACCATTGCCTTGGGTGCAGAAATCTGCCTTCATCATTTCTATATGGAACTGTTGTTCTTTTGAAACAAGGATTAATCCATAATCCTCATGAGATGTTCATTACAAACTAGGGAAAACATACTTTAATTTCTGCTTGAGTTCTCTCTGTATTGATTTTAGGTGAAAACTTAGCATTTCGATAAGTACCAGTTTTACATATGTTTCTTTACGTAAACTTGTATGGCAGCTCTCTACAAATATGTGGATTTCTACCAAAATAAACAGTAGCTGATATAGGGAAATCAATCTGTGATGGGAGAGCTTTGCAAGTAGCTTCTTGCTTAAACAGAGAGGGAAGATCATCCTGCTCTAGAAGGTTCCAACTTCTTTAAAGTCAAGATGGCCGTTTTCTAGGAATATGCCTCCAAATAGGTGGAAAAGGAAAGGGAAAGGACATTAAAATGGTTTTTCTATCTTGAACATTCGGGGGGAAATTCCAGGAGACACTCTAGAACCAGCAAGTCAGACTACTTCCAGAACTGCTGCAATTGACAATAACAATGAAAATACCAGCTACTTGAATTATTCCTTTTGGGCAGTTGGGAGGCAGGGGCCAGAACCAGCTCACCAAGGGCTTCAATGAATCTGTTCCAGCGAATGATACCAGGCTTCAACCTTGAGAATGGCAGGACACTCGGGGGGGAAAAAACAACAGGTGTTTGTTTTGTGCATCCAGCTCTAAGCAAAGTGGAGGTATGAGTGGCTACATCTGGGTGCCTCAGGGATTTTATTAAGGTTGTTGGAGCCTAGTAAGCAGCCAGTCCTCTCCCTTCTGCTTTCTATATGCTTGCTATACCAGATGATCTCACACTTCCTGCCTCTAACATATATCCAGGAAAGTGGAAAGTGCTTTTCCTGTATGATTAGCCCACACACAGGCAGCATTTCCAGTGATACTACTTGCAGTGGGTTCCAGATTGGGTGATCGTGAATGTCTAATCTGCCTGAAATGCACATTTGTAAACAATCGCTAGAAAACGCCCATGATTTCCACAGAATTGAGAATTAGGAGCTGAGATTAGATGCCTCAGGGTGAGAATTAGCACAGAAATTGGAACCAGATTGCCAATTGGAACCAGATTGCCGACATCTGAGCCATTAGATATTTAGTACCTGTATTAATCATACCTCATTTGAATTAATATCACATTTAAGACCTGTGGTACATGTTTTGTTCTCTGTATGATATAATTATATGTACCCATCATACATAGGAATCATGAAGACAGCAATAAAAGTCTAGTTCCTCTGTTATGGTGAGTAATATAATTTATGAGAATGGGATGCAAAACATGGTTTGAGAACATTTCTATGCATAAAATTCATATTGGATTAATGTAATTTGTTAACACAATCCTCTAAAAGTTCACTATGGTTTTAAAAAGGAATCTGTGGAGATTGTTAAAATAAATTGCATTGCAAATGTTGGTATTTTAACTGTAATGCAATAAAATCATTTTCTACTACCAAAGACTAAAACGTGATTGGGCCCTTATTTGTTAGCCTCAGCCGCAAATGTAGCAACAATTTTGAGTACAATCCAATGTTGGTCTTAAACTTTGGGAAATTCTCTGGCCTACATTTTTTAACATTTTCATAACAGGCATCAAGTCATAGTGTTTCAATTTAATTGATCATGATTTTATGTTATTTTAATTTGCTTTTTATTATGGTTTTATTAATTGTGCTTCCCTTCCCTTCTGAGAGTTGGAGATCATTTGGAGGGCATCCAGGTTGGGAAAAGCGGAATTAATAGGATTGTACTTTGAGTCTCTTTAATGAGTGGAAAAATTGATTTGGTGAATATTAGCAGCTTTTCATAATTGTGACAGTTCCTATTAGTATCATGTAACAAAGTTTCTTGAGTATTTTATATTCTGTAAGTCAGTGTCAAATCTTACTTCTTCTGGCATGGTGAGTTGTCAGTGACATTAGGTGTGAAGCCAAAGTAGACAAGGGAAGGGAGAGGAGAGCTATGTGGAGAACAAAAATCATTTTGTGATACATGTTATAAAGATTTTAAATTCAGCAAAGAAAGAAAATGTATTCTGATTTCTTCGAAGTGAAAGTTGTGCAGGAAGCTTGTTAAATAAAGCAGATATAAAGTGTCACAATCCTCATGTTTCTGCACCAGGAAGCAAACCTATATTGTCACTTTTCAAATACCTCCTGCTCTCTCTTACTTAAAATCTACAGATGCCTGAATTTTAAAGTAGAAACAGGAAATCATTCATGAAGTCCATCAAATACACATCGAATTTACTCCTACATAAATGGAGTTGTAAACTTGCAGTGAAAAAAAAAAGACCGGATTAGGTCCACTAAGAATAACACCATCTAATACATATGTAAGGAATTAGTCCCAATGGGTTCACATTGGCTTTTCTCAAGAGTCTACATATATGGGTATGCAGTTCTACATGCTTGTAATTGTGTAGAACAGGAGGGACAATCTTCATCCCAGGAGCCACAGCCTGCTCTGATCATGATTGCTAAACTCTGGCAGCCTAGTTTCTTGCCATTTTGTGTGGGGAACAAATGGGAATTCAAGGACATTTAACACCCCCATTCCTCTTAATGCTTGATTTAGACTTGCCTGCAACTGCACGTAGGCATCGACACATACCTATGCTGAGAAGGGGTTGATGGATAAGTGTAGGTTGCAGATGGTTGCAGACATGCTGATGTGCATACTGTCGGGCTCTGGGAATTTACTGTCGGGCTCTGGCACTCACTCGGAACCCGACACATCGCTGGGGCTGTGGGACTGATGGATGTGTGGACGACTGTCGTTTATGCTGAATTGTTGAGACAGCTAGACAGCTCCTAAATCTGAACTATATGGAGATTCAAATCCTGCATGCTGATTGATTGATTCAACTTCCTCTTGGAAGGCGGGCGGAAGGCAAGGCACATTCAAATGACATTAACATTTATAGAAGTGCTAATGCAACAACTATGCAACCATCTCTGAATGATAAATACATACATGGGGTAACAGAGAAGTCTAAACCAAGCTTTAGTCTTCCTCTCTCGTTGCTCATCCCTAATTTAGATATAATATAGACAATCTTACATTTTTTAAAAAATCCTAGAGTAAGTTGCAAACAGAGAATCGAAAATAGGCTTTGGTGTAATTTCATATCAGTTCAAATGTGTAGAATTCATCAATGTAGTAATGGTTAATAGTACTCTATAGCAGGGATCCCCAACCTTTTCGACGCCGCGGCCCGGTTCCGACATCAGCTGGGCGCCGCGGCCCGGTACTGGCGTCAACTGGGCGCCGCCATCTTTTTATGACGAAAAGGCGCTTCCGGTGAGCTTTCTACCCGGAAAAGCTCACCAGAAGCGCTTTTTTACCAAAAAAAAGATGGCGGCGCCCAGCAACCAGCGGCCCGGTAAGGGTTGTTCCGCGGCCCGGTACCGGTCCGCGGACCGGCGGTTGGGGACCCCTGCTCTATAGCAAATAAACTCTCCAACTTGAACTCGATTTCTGGTGGCTTCATAGATATATTCATATAGTTTTCTTGACAGCAAGATGTAAGTAGTTTGCTGTTGTCTCCTCAATTTTTTTTTTAAAAAATCTTGGTAGCCTCCCATCCAATGACTCATCTAGTATAACCTTGAGTAGCTTTTTGGAGAGTAGCTAAAATCTGATAGATACTGTTAAAGCAATGAACCTCTTGGGATTGTGGCAAGGCTCAATAAAGAATGTTAATATTTGAATCCTGATCTAGAGAATTGCAGTATCTAAAGTTTGCATGTTTTCTATAAGAGAGGCCTGAGACCAGGATTAGCTAGCACCAACTCACTGTTGCAATGGTCACAGGAGAGAGTGCTGATTAGCTGTGCATGTTGGATAAATCCTTGTATAAAATCTTATTTGTCTTTGTGGAAAAGGTTAATGACAATGTACTTTGCCTGCATCACAAGCAATAAACGTAGGCATGTTAAATATAAACAGGAAGAACAGTTAGGATAAATATTTATTTCTGGATAACATTTCTTGAGTCATGAAAAAACAATACTCTATTCATGTTTACACTTAAAACATTTTAATAAATTACATCCAAGAAATTAAGCAGTTTGATCTGGAAATGGGAAATTAAAAGTTAATATGCTACTGCCAGTTGCATTTTATTCGCTTATTGTGATTTGAAAATGTTGAGATTGATACACAAAAACAGGATATCTGTTTTAAAAAAGAGCCCTCCAAAATATTGAACAGCAATACTGCAGAATAATTCAGTCCATGAATTTTTAGTGTCCAGAAAGCTGAGCAGATTGTTCTGCACATTAGCATTTAAAAAAAAAAAATTACCGGCAGTCTCTCTTCATGGACCACTCTGCATTGCATGGCTATTAAGAGACTCACTTGGAATGTTACAAGGGATCATCCAGTACACAATGACAAAGCATTTTAATCTTATGAGAGTCATACTTCTATCTAAATTTATCCATACATTTTAGTCAATGTGGTTTGTTTTTTTTCTTTGAATTTATCATTTGCATAACATGAATTTGAGGAATTTAGACAACACCGAGAGCCTGCTAATACTGGGCATCAAAAATAACTTCAGAAGCAATGCTTTTCATTACGTATATCTAATTTTTGCCTACTTTTGGCACAAAAGCAGCTGCTGTGATAATGTGTTCAAAGCACAAGGCATATGGAATTGAGTACCCTAGACTCTTACTCTGCTATCACTGACGAAAGCGTAGCCTGTGCAGATGGATGAGGCCCATTTCTCAATGCAGCCATTCCCAAGCTCCTGCAATTGAATGGATGCTGTGAATCTGACACACATGGCTCTTAAGGCTACACCTTTGTTGCCAAAGGCAAGAATACATTCTCTTCTAGCTGATGATAGAAGAGAAATGTCTACGGCAAGGCCTTGGCTCCTTAAGCTTGTTTTTTTTCCATCCGCAAGGTGGAATTAACACCACAGATTTCCTACTTGAACAGGCAAGAGAAAAAAAAAACTGAAGCTGGTGGGTGCATTTGACTACAACCATAGCAGATGTTCTACAACAAGGATGGCAAATTATGGCCCCTTTATGACTTGTGGACTTCAACTCCCAGAATTCCTGAACCAGCCATGCTCAGGAATTCTGGGAATTGAAGTCTAGACTACATAGTTCCCAACCCCTGTTCTACAGGAAAGACCAGAATCTATATTGCTGCTGCTTGGTCCCATTAAGTGGATCTAATGGGGTGGGAGGTTGTACAGAAGGAGGAAGCCTCCCATACACAAACTGTGTTTAAAAGGTATGCTAAAAAGGCCGTTTCCAAATTGTAAAAAGAACTGTGCCTTTTTTTCTGTCCTGGAAGATCCCTATTCTTTGGTCCTATGTTCCTGTCATCATGTACTGTATATGCTTTGAAGTTTATGGTCCTTTGGAGAGAAACAGGCACAAATGCTTCATCTAAAGATTTCCATTTGTTTCTTGCACAGAGCTAACTTCGTGTATGGCACCCACTCCAACATTTCAACTGAGAAGTCAGTTCAACAACTGCAATCTTTCCAGGTCCCCGATTAGCAAACAAGAATCGGGGCTAGTTCTTATCACTGATTCTGCCTCCTTATTCTCTTCTAGCTATGCCAGCCTTGCTGCTCACAGCTGTTACCATATCTGGCAGCAGAACTCAGCTGAGGATTCTTCCCATGTTAGCGGCAACTTGGAACTTGAAAAAGCCTGAATGTTGAAATCTTATAGGTATATTTTCCTGATTCTTGAAACCACTGGTGAGCTTGTAAGATCTGATCTTTTGTTAATGTCCTCCCCACAAAAAAGCTAAAAATATATAAACTTTTTCAAAAAATGTTTGATATTGCCCTTTTATTTTACTCACAACACATTCATTCTCACAGGTGCTTGGGGCATTTTTTTCCTCTTCCCATCTGCCTTCACGTAACGAGACCATTCTCTTCTACAGATCGGCCAACCAGCTAGACTGAAGAAAAAAAAACCCGCAGTCTCTCAGCCTCCTTCACGAATATGCAACCACAGGTTGCTTATGCAAATTCCAAACATGAGCAACTAATGGGTTTGGCTATGGGGAGAATCATTATGGTGGGAGTGCCCTAAGGAAATTGTGCCCAGGCACACTACTAAAACTAGGACTCCATACTTGGCATGGCTGCATTTGACCACAGCTGAAAATGGCCAAGAATGGGGAGCTGTCCAGCACATGCACATGCTTGAAATTGTTTTCTAGGATGAAAATATGTAGTTTGGTTATCATAAATATTCAAGACAATAATAATATTATATGGCTTCTACAGAAAGAGTGTGGATTCCAAATACATGAAACTATTAAGAAAGACTGAACATACATTTGTGCAGAACGGAGACCTGATCGGTAACAGCCATGTCCATAAATGTTAACACTTTTATTTCATATTAGGAGTCTGACTTCAAACTTAATTAGCAATGGGAAATAAATGAAATTACAATCAAATCACGCCTTGGTCCCA